TCCACCCCCATCCANACGCACCCAAAGCACCTACCGCCCCCTCCCCATCACTGCCGCGCTTCCCCACTCCGTCCAGAACCATCCTCCTCCGCCGCCGCACCGCCTGACGGGCCGCGGCGATCCGCTCCTCCAGGCCTAGATTCCGTACGTAGTACGCCGCCAGCGCGCCCACCATGCCCGCCGCCGCGTTAGCTGGGCCGAAGGTGACGGGGATTTCGCTGAAGGCCGCATCGGCCAGGCTGGCCCCCAGATTGGCCAGCCAGTACACCGCCCAGAAGAGGCTGTAGCCCAGCAGAGCCTCCGCCTCCGTGCCCACGGTCAGCAGCGTGGCCAGCTGCAGGAAGAGCTCCAGGGGGCCGTCGCACACGAAGCCGGCTGTAGCGAGGCGGGGTACCTGGCCGCTGGCTACAGCCAGGTGGTCGTTGACCAGACCATCTACCAGAAGAGAGGCGGCCAGGTCGCCCTGAAGCGCAGGGCAGGGGAGGGGAGGTGGGGGGGGGGGGGTAGGTAGAAGGCAAGTTGAGCCGAATGTCTTCCGCGTGCGAACTTGTTTCGAGTAGAAGGGGGAGTGGGGCGGATGGTAGGGCTGGTGTGTGTGTGTGTGTGTGTGTGTGTGTGTGTGTGTGTGTGGCGGGTGGAAGGTTTGGGGGGTGGTACGGGTGTAGGTAAGTGCTTGTGTCTCGTACGATGCCAGGAGCATTTTCTATTGGCTTCTGAAAGAGTACAGAAAAATGGTAGCGGTACATGGCAGTGTACGGAGCGGTACATGGCCTGTTTGTACGGAGATGTACGGCGAGGCACGCGGGAGCCCACTTGGGCCTTACATCTGTGGCCTGCAGCCAGGCGGTTGCCAGGTACACGACGATGAAGCAATAGTAGATGACGTACACGTACAAGGGTCGGACCTGTAAGAACGGCCGCGGCGGGCGGGTGAGGGGGGGTGGGACAGGACAGGACAGGACGGGGCTGGGGTTGGGGCGAGGAATGTGATGCAGGGTTAACAGGTCGGGCATACAATAGGAGAGGCGGCCAGCGGCCATCAGCTCTGCACCAGGACGTTTGTGTATAACCAAGCTCTCGGCACCGCGCACTATCCTTCTTCCCACGATACAACATCAAGGGGGAAAACATCGCCCCGGGCGTCCAATGGCGAAATCCCAGTCGCGCGTGCGGTTGACCCAAATCAAGGCCACAGCGGCCAGGGCTTACCCTTCGGGCAGCGGCCTCCGGTACCTTCCGCCAACGCCGCCGGTCAACTTCCGCGGCGTATTTGTCAGGAGCCTCGCTAGAGTCCGCATCTGATGATAATTAGCGAACGGGCCGTACAAGGAAAGGGATAGATATCGCGCTGCGCTTTCAAGCTACGAAATGGGACTAGAGAAATGACCCGCGGTCCATATCTTACGGACGGGATACATAACATATAGTGTTCGGCTCTCGCACCATCAATTTTCTTTGCAAGGGATGCCCAAATCATCCGCTTCGAGTTAACTTGCGGCATTACGTGGTTGGGCAGAGACCCCAACCCACCGTCCTCAACTTGGTCATCCTTACTACCAAGAATACTCTCCAAGGATTTAAGAGTGCTGTCTGAGGAGCTCCGGCCTGTGTTCGCGAAGACGACCTGCCGGCTCGTCCATCGCGCCGAGGCTTTCCATTTAGGCGCTTTAGGCGATTGATAGCATGGGAGAAACTGTCGCGATGGAAAACTAGGTAAACTACCTAAGCTTGCACGCTCAGCGCGTGCTACAATTTTTTGTGGTTGCCCAGTTATTCGCCCGAACAAGTGCATGGACCGGGAATACGCAAGCTTACAGCTCCTAGTCCGTATCAGTTACGATATTTCTTTAGGCACAGCGCTCGGAGCAGGAGCTTCTGCAAGAAATTCGCGTTCATCATCCGGAACTATCGGTGCTGTGACACGTACCGTAAGCGACGGTTGCACCCTACAGCTGATCAACCACGCAAAGATTCTCGAAAATGGTTTATCGTTCCTTGTCTCTATTGCGTTTGAACCCTTTCTCACGATCATTTCACCAAGCTTCCAAAACTGACAACTAACTGACGCGCAACTCCAACGGCGCATAGGCAATTTGCCGCACCGCTGGACCTCCACTTGATGCGCACAGCCGTAATTTTTGCATCTGCTGGTGCAGAAGCCTTCTTCTTTCTACCTCCTTGTGTAGGAACACCCGTGTAACCATTGTGCCTGTGTTCAACCTTTTTCAACCACCTCGACGATAAGTACCTGTTAACAGTATCCATCAGCTGCTGCTCCATTAACGCTTCTCGCCTGGCTGCTAATTCGGACGCTGGCTTTACCAGTCGTCTTAAAAGGTCTGTAGATCGGTGCCTGATGCCTAACCTCTTGAAATGTGTGAATCCACCAGCACCGTAGTCTCGCATGGACAACTCGCTAGCGGCTCCTATTCTTATCGTCAAGAGCGGGTAACCCACTTTCAGGCAACCTTTAAAGCCCTGCCCACCTTCAGATCGCGTAGATGTCCTGCGTTCAATCAGGAATCCAGTCCTCGGCCGGCTTCACATTCCGTTTCGCTGCAACACGCGCTATGCCGTTGCGGTTACTTCACGACGCCGCGGTCCTCAGTCCGCAGATTCCCCCCAAACGTGGCTGGCCGGCTCACTTGACCCACAACATCCGAGCGCCGTCCCGCGTCCCTGCGGACACACGCGCGTGTGTTTAGTCCCCGGGGGGTACCCCCCTCCCTTTCCTTTCCCCCCCTGCCGATGTGTACCTCCCGCAAACGGTACTCCCAACTTAAGAAGGGCCCGGCGGGCATCATCGCCAGCTCCCGTACTGTACTGCCGCTGTGTATCGCCCGCAGGGGTTCAATATGGGTTGCAGTACAGCGCACCGCAGCCACCCCGTCAGGTTGGCCGCGCCATCCCGACCCGCGTTTGCCCGTTTCTTCACGAAGTAAAAACGAAGAGAAGAGGGGCGAGGTGCGGAAAAGCTCACGAACACGTCCTAGCAAGTAGCTCCGCGAAGCGCACAAACTAAGGACAATAAGCCTTCTAGAGAATCCGCCCGGGCTTCAAAACCCGACAAGTGTCACATCCCGCTACGCTGAACGACCAATCCTTCCTCACATCCACATCCACCATCCAGCTAGTCAGAACCCACGGAGGCCACATGACAGAGACACGTCATCGCTGCCGTACGATATAAACATTCCGTACAATTTGTACGTCGCAAATGTCGCAAACATGTCGCCATGTGCAAGGTCTTAGAAAGCGTCTGGATACAAATTCAGCTCCAGACGTCCCATATACCTGTCGTACAGGCAACAAGACATATGACCAGCAAAACAGCCCCTCCCAACGCTTTTGGCGACGCCACCGTCCACCCCACCAAATACCTGCACCCACCGGTTCATCAGCTGGGCTTTTCTTATACACGAGGAACAGGCCAGGCCAGTTAAGCACAGTTAAGCATTGTTTCAGTTATTTCAGTTGTTTCAGTTAAAACTGTCTACTATCTGACTGATGGAGATCAAACACGCTCGCTTCACGTGTTCATCGATAAGCACGTCCTCCTCTCTCCCTCCCCTACCTAACCCCGCAGCCCTCACACAGACATACACACAGACATACACAGACATACACACACGCTCACAGGCATCCTGCTGGCCCTCCCCTTCCTTTCTCCTATACAAGCTCGCCTACCCCTCTTTTTGTGGCAGCTTGTCGGGCACATCCTGGCGCCCTCTTTTGTCCACGGTCCGATATCTCACCTTCATGAAAATATCCTTAATACATACATACATACATACACGCAAACACTCCATATCTCTCACCCACACCTCTCCCGCCCCCTCTCCCCCCCAGCCCCTCACGCCGCTGCAGCCCTCTTGATCTCCCCCACCAATGTCGCTTGAGCCTCTCGAGGTACGGCAGCGTGGTGCGAGTACTCCATGCTGAACTCCCCCTTGCCCTGTATGTGGGGGGGTGGGGGAGGGAGGGAAGTGGGGAGCAGAGGGGGAGGAAAGACGAACCACACGCGATTTAAGCTGCTGCCAGGGCAAGAAAGTAGCAACCGAAAGAACTGACCGAAAGGCGTCCGTGGCGACTGTGACGACTGTAACCTCGGGATGACGACTGTAACCTCGGGATGAAGATTTGACGTAGAAGTAGGAAGTCCTACCTACCTAAGCCGCCAGAAATATTATAGCCAAACCGTAAACTAGTAGGTGTAGAAAAAGTAATGAAGGCGGCGAGAAAAAATTTTTGACGTAGAAGTTGCGTAAAGTTGCTGACCAGGAGAGAAAGCTGCATTGCTGATACTGAAGGGCTGCCGGTATGCAAGTGTTCCTCCCAACCCCCCCAAAAAAAACTAGAACGCGCGACTGACCCGACCGACCCAAACTAAACTATTCCGGCTAGCCTACCGATGCCAACGCGAAATACCAAAGAAGCTCGAACCACCTTATTGGACTCACCTGGCCAGGCAGCAGGAGTAGCGGGCAAAGGCACATGCGAGGCAGAGAGGTGGCAAAATCGTGAGCAGCGAACGAAAAAACAAGAACTCATGCAGATGCTGCTGAAAAGGCGTATAAAACTTGCTGACCGGGGAAGCTGGAATGAGAAAACCTAAAGAAACTATATGAAAATGGAAGAAAAGTCAGGAAGTAATAAAGAATTGCAAAGGCGGCGTAGGACGACACAGGTGGTGTCGTACGAGATGACCTAGTGACGCATTGGACGGGATGACGCATGGGACGGGATGACGCATGGGACGGGATGACGCATTGGACGGCGTGTACGCCGGCAGAACAGGGGGAGGGAGCAGGGGGGAGGGAGGAAAGACGAACCACGTGAACGAGTGAAGCTGCTGCCAAGGAAAGAGTGTACAAGAAGTAGAACTGACCAAAAAGGGGGACGGGGGAATGAGGTAAGATGCAATGGGGTGAGGGGGAGGGCAAAAGTCATATGCGAGAAACTCAGAAATGAACTGGGTGGGGGGGGGAGGGGGGGAGGGGGGGAGGGAGGGAAAGGGGAAAGAGAGCAAAAGGAAGGAGGTCAGGGCAGCAAAACGGGTGTTGTTCCTGGATGCTTGAAGAACACCATGGCGGAGCTGTACGGCACAGGGGAGACGGTCAAAACCCAAATTGGACAACACGGCCTGAAACGAGATGTTGTGCTGTGTTGTGTTGTAGGGAAGAAACCAAAGCCGGCGGGTGAGGGAAAGGCGATGGGGAGTTTTAGGAGGTGTATGAGGTGAGCGGCCCACCGGGGCCCCCAGCCCCCCCCCTCGCCTCCCCCCCCACGCTCACCTGCGTTGCAGACCTCAGCGCTGTCGAGTACCCGAACATGAGGTTGAGGGGCACGTGGGCCGTCACCACCGTGTCGTCCCCCACCGCACCGCTGTCAAGGATAAGGCCCTTTCGTCGGTTGATGTCGCCCATGGTGGCGCCTGAGGGGGGGCAAGGGAGGGAGGGAGGGGGTAGAAGGGGGGCAACCAGAGGAGGAGTAGGGAAGCACACACGGATTGGCGGGGTGGAAGGACGGAGTAGAAAGAGAGCGAGA